GAGCAAGAGCTAGCCCTGCCCAGCCACACAGAGGCTGCAGAGAGGCCGTCTTTATTGGCATCCCCTTGACTTGGACATTTTTTTTTTCCCTTTCAGATTTGCTGTCCTCCATGGTCTCAGATCTCTCTTTTTATAGCATCTGATTTTTTTTAAGACTTTAAAAAAAAGAGGAGAGGGAAAAAAACTGCTAACCTAAGGTATATAATTCAATCTCGGTTCTCTCTAGCAGAAAATAATCTTTGTATAAAGTAACCGAAATCACAGAAGTTATAAATATCCTGTTCCTCCTCACAACTGCACTGTCCAACAGGAGCGCTGAATACCCAACATGGCCGGTTCAGTTAATGCAGGCTAGAGACACAAAATGCAAACAAACCTCAGTATTAACCACACTGAAGTCGGAATATCTCAGCCACTTCCAGAAATGATCCCATGTTAGAATAGCAATATTGGGCTACAGTAATATAAGATGCACTACCGTATCTTTATTTTTTCATTGAGATTAACAGATAATATAGAATTACCTAAGACTTAATATTATATTTGATTTTAGCACACACACACACATACACACACATTCTCTCTCACTCTCTCACGTGTGTGTGTGTGTGTGTGTGTGTGTGTGTGTGTGTGTGTGTGTATGCATGTAGATTTACCATGTGATTCCCGAGACCAAACTCAGGATTGGGGTTCAGCAGCAAGTGTCTTTATGGACTGAGGCATCCTTGGGCTTCTCAGATGACCCATTCATTAGAACAATGCAGCCCTTTGTTTGCCAGTGTTTATTCCATTATTATTTTTTCACCCTTGGAAGTAATCATTTAAATAAAAATAAAATATTCATGGAATTCAATGAGACCTGTTTCCTGGGGACACAGGAGAAACAAATAGTGTTGAAAAGAATTGTTAGCTTTATCTCTAGTAACACTGAATAAACAACAGGCCACAGTCCTGCAGACACAGACACTTGACAGAAGAGCTGCAGTGCTTGGCATGCACTCCAGGGGGTGGAGGGTGGCTCCCGTTATCAGAGCTGTGTTTTGAAAACCGCCAGTAAGATGTCACTGTCTTCCCCAGTCTGTATGAGCAGACTGAGGGCACTCCGGGTGGCGAGACTGACATGCTTCTCGTTTTCCCTAAGAGTGCTCTCTGCTGTAGACAACCTACATGTGACCCTGTCAAAGGTAGTTCTGGCAAAAGGAAGTGATGCCTGGGAAGGCAATTAGTCTCCTTGTCCTTGCAACATGCTATTCTCAGCTTAATAGTAACTACATGCCTGGAGCTCTCTGCATTTATTATGATGTGATTTTTATGAATAATTATGATTTTTATCCCAACTTCCCCATTAATGTTATCAAAGTATTCACTTTGTAGGTGTTTGCGGCAAGTGCACACATACGACTTAAGTCATTCACAAGGAACTTACAAATGTGATGCCCTTTATTCCTTCATTAGTTACTTTTCACTGTGCTGTGGTTAAATACCGAGCAAGATGAAATTGAAGTGAGAAAGGCTTCATTCTGGCTCACAGCACCAAGTACCACATTCTGTCATGGATCATGGAGGGGAAGCCTTGGCAGCAGGACCAGGAGGCTAGGTCGCGCTGCATCCACAGGCAAAATGCAGAAAGTGAAGAGAAAGTCGAGCTGGCTTACGAAGCCCCACCTCATCCCTACCCTCCAGCCCAATGCTGTGACTTTCTTCCTCTATCAGGGCGCCACCTCTAAAGATCCCACAATGTTCCCAAACAGTACCATCAGCTGAGGACGTGTCCAGACACACAAGCCTGTGGAACACACTTCACATTCAAACCATAGCAACCCCATACATTTTGTTATGGTTTTCCAAAAAATAAGGGCATTCTCTTCCATAACAATTACCATCATAATTACGTAAATCAAGGGATTAATATTTGTGTATTTATAGGACATTAAGGTTCTATCTTATCTACTGACCTTCAAATTTTTGAGTTGTCTCAAAAGTGCCACTTGTAGCGTGAAAAAGAGCGTGTTTTAAGCATCAGTTTGGAGGAAGTATTATACTTGATAGACATATTTATGTGTTCTCTTTTTGGATGAAGCAACTCTTTATTCAGATACACATACATCACATGACTGTAATGCTTGAAAGTTCTAAGCCAGATTTTTTTTCAGATGTTTATCTGGGCTCGAGTGATGTTTCTGTCTTATGAGATTGGTTATAATTTTTGTAAGTTGTCATGGAAACCCTGCTGCTTCCTCAGTATAAAAAAAATCATAGATATTTGGCCCATTACTACTGAAGTCATGATACACTGATTGGTTATAGGTTCATAGGAGGGTTCTTCACTGTCAAGGTGCATGTTTTCTATGTGCAATTAATAACCACTGTCTTTATAAGTGCCATGATAATATCAATATTCTGGTTGTCTTCAAATCCAATTAATAAATTTACCACCCAAGGATCATGTTTATGTCATGGAGTTTTCAGTGTGATGATTGCCAAATCCTAATTTTCTATTAGATTTTTCCTTCAATATTTTAGTTGGCTTTTTTGCTCACAAATTCTTATCTGATTCAATGTTCAATAATCTGCTACTTCTACCATCTCCTGGCAATCAATTTTTCCATTTCTTCAGGGAGCCCACTCCCAGATGGCTTCTGTGTCCTGCCAGATCATCGTCTCTGAACACCTCCTCCCTTTCTAAAACAATCTCCTTCAATCTAATCTGACATCACCCTTTCTCTATCCTAGAATCATCATCTCTCCAAGAAACACTGGCTTCCCACAGTGGGAACTTCTGTTTGTAAACTGTGCTCACTTTCCTGGAATTTAATGCTTCTAGAACCTCGAAACCCCAAGAGCTAGGAAAAGAGGAAACAAATCAACACCACACTTGTTTCTTTCATGCTTCTTTGCACACATTTGCACACCTACTATGTGCCTGTGTTAGGGTGGATGTAATATTCATGTGTGTGCAGATGCACAATTCTGTGAGTCTATTCTTTCATGATTGTGTATGCATGTGGAAGACAGGGGACCACTGTAACCACAATTCACCTTTTATTTTTAATTAGAAACAGGGTCTCTACTGGTCTGGAATTCATCAAGTATGCTAGACTTTCTAGGCAGTAAGCCAAGGCCCAGGGATCCATCCACCTGATCCACTTCCTTGCCACTGAGTGCTGCATACCACCACCCTGCCTATCACATTGGTTCTGAGACTGAATGCAGGTCTAAGTCATCTCCCCAACTTTCATGTTTCACAGAGGAGAAGCTAGATACTATTATACCATGAGAGTAGAAATGAACAAATTATATATTGAATGGTCTATATTTCATATTATTTATAAAAATTTTTAAAATTACATTAAAATTTTTGTTTGAAACTGTTGCTTGGTTTTCAGTAAAAAATAAATTACATATATTTATGATTATAACATGATTTTATTATATGTATATACATTGCAGAATAGCTTCAAGCTACATAATCTGCACACTACCTAAAACATTTACTATTATTCTGTGGATAGAAAATTTAAAATCTGTATTTAGCAATTTTAAAGTACATAGTACAGTTATTAAAGCTGAAATTATCAAGCTGTATGAGAGGTCTCTTAGAGTTATTCCCGCTACCTAACTGGAATTGTGCGTACTTTGGCCAAGGTCTTCCCGATCTTTTCTGCATCTTTCAAGCCTTCAGTAGCCATTCTTTTCTCTGCTACTTTGAATTAGTCATTTGATCTACATGTAAGTGACATACTTCAGTCTCTGTATTTCTGGGACTGTTTTGTTTAATTTAAGAGAGTACCTATAGCTTGCTGATCATTCTGATTGCTTATTAATAAACTCACATTCTAACAATCAGTCAGTTCAGCTAAAGTTGTACACTAAACTTCAATGAGCAGGCAATTTGGTGTCCAACACAATAAAACTATTACAAAGGTTTATCCATCGACATCACTTAAAAAGCAAAAGCTATACACAACTGTGGAACAAGGGCTGTGCTTCACCTCCTTTGAATGGTTTCGGGCATCCTTACTGAATATGGATAGCATATGGTTAAGGTAATTTGTGGCTATTTTGTCAATGAAGAAATTGATAATGACTAATAAGCCTAGCGCTGGATGACAAGTCCAGGGATAAGGATAGCAATATTAGCTGATTATGGAGTTTCTTGTTTTAAGACATTGGAAAATGAAAGATGGATCTGATATTAAACTCAAGTTCTAGTGTTTTGGAATATTCACAAGCACAAGAATTCTAGACGAAAAGGATCAACTTCTGCCCAGTAACTCCTTAGAGCCTGGGACAGTAGGGTATTTCTAAAGTTGTTGCAAGCCCATTTTCCAAACTATGCACAACCCGGGGATTCCAACACAGTCTGCAGGAAGCCTGGGAACACTGGTAGGGGAGTTTTGTGTATCTCTCCTCTCTTCCCTTCTAGAAGACCCTGCCTGGCATACTTTCCTAAGAGACTAGAGGAAGAAAAGAAGCTCCGGTGATCAGATCTGAACTAAAATAAACAGTCAAGCACAAAGATGTCAAGCTCAGTCTCCAAGTGGCAACAGAAACAAGTTTCATTTTCAGAGGTTAATATTTTCTCTTCACTTTATGTGGCCTTTACCCAGTGCATTCATAGTTACATAATGATAAACAGAGGAGAAAAGGGTGTTTCATCAGAACATGATAGCTAGATGCATCAAGCTAAACAATCAATACCCGCTCTAACTAGAGATGCTTCCAGGACTCAAGGGATGTCCCTTGCCCTGTTATCATCTGATGAAAAGGAAGTCAGAATGACATCCAGGGAGTGAAGAGACCACATGCAGGAGGAAATGGTTAATTGAAAATTAAAGGAGGATGTGGTGTTTCACATCAGGTAAGGCAGCTCAGAGTCCTGGGGCCTGACCACTGGGGAAATGAACCTTGTTCACCCTGATCAACAAATTTACATGCATCTGTCTTCAGTTCCTTGAGGTGGAAAAAATGAAAACTTATGGAAAACAAATTGCACCTACCTGGATGAGAGACAGATCCTCAAGCTGCAATCTGAAGAGATAGTTTCTGCAAAACACAAACAGAGAGCATGTTACCTTTAATAGATCCCCAAAGTCAGAGTCCATAAGCACCATGAGAATGACAGGTAAAAGCAGGTAGTGATGTGGGGGACAAAGCACCACCTGCTACTAATACGGGACGCAGCTGTCTGAAACAGAGAATAGGGTCACCTGACTTCTCAAGAGATATACATTTGAGACTGGTGAGAGAGCTGTGGACTGTGCAGTGTGTATGCCCGGGACAGATGCTCGCTCCCATTGCCTGCTAGCATTGGTGTGAATTAGGAAGAGGATGTGGGCACTTGACTCTGGAAATAAGTTTAACTTAAGGGAGATGAAACACAAGTCTTCTTCCAGGGTCTATTCTTGCCTCTCACTTGTATCACTAGGTTTTATTCTTAGACCCTGACTCCAGTCTGTGTCCCCGCATCTGCCTTGCTGGTTGGGTTCAGCTTGGAGGCACAAATTTACCAGTTTTCACAAGGAAACTGATACTGTCAATAGTTCAACCAGCTTTGCAGCTCATATGTGATATAGAAATCAGAGACAAGAAAACTACCAGTTTCAATAAATGTGCAAAGGACACAGCGGAGCACAGACAAAGGAAAATATAAATTAGAGGTACAGTAGACTCTGGAATATAGCTTTTGGGCCTCTGTCACAAGAGGTGCTTCTGCCTCAGGATGAAATCATGAGAGCCTCCACAGCATCAGGAAGAGGAGGCACTGCAGTAGAAACACCTTGAGAAGAGATAGTCAATCCAAGTATACTTCAGTACCTCAGGAGAAAACCAAACACAAAGGAAAAGTGCACCTTAAAATGCAAAAGGTCAGGGGGCTTCAGAGAAGTCAAAGAACAAAGATGTGTAATAATAGCTTGCTTTAAGGTTACTTCTCTGGCATAATGAGAAATATAATTTCAACAACAATAAGAAACAAATGTAGGTAACAGTCACTGCTGGGGAGGGAAGGGTGCCATGTAGATACAAGCTATCAGAAATAGACACGCTGGGCAGTGGTGGTGCACACCTTTAATCCCAGCACTTAGGAGCCAGAGGCAGGTGGATCTCTGTGAGTTCGAGGCCAGCCTGAGCTACAGAGTGAGTTCCAGGATAGGCTCCAAAGCTACACAGAGAAACCCTGTCTCAAAAAAAAAAAAAAAAAAACGAAAAAAGAAAGAAAGGAAGGAAGAAAGTGAGGGGGGAGGGAGGAAGGAAGGAGGGAAGGAAGGAAAGAGGGAAGGAAGGAAGAAAGGAAGGAAGGAAGGAAGGAAGGAAGGAAGGAAGGAAGGAAGGAAGGAAGGAATAGACACACTGCTCTGCTCCAAGAATGGAGACAAATGCCAGCCAAAGCAGGTCAAGGGTATAGCTTTGAGAAGACCATCCCAGCAACTATAGATAGAGACAGATGGGGAGCAGGGACTGGGGCTACTGTCATGAGTGCTACACATCAGTCCCTGCATGCTAACGTGTTTTTCAAGTGGTTTCCAAAAACTGTTCTTCAAATCACAACAGTAGCCTGTTCACTATATTCAATTTTTCTCTTGATATGCTATGGAAGAAAGTTCTAGAAAACTTGGCTAGTTTATGCTCCCATATGCAACATGAAACTTAGAATGTTTTTTGAAGAAAGGGAACACCTGAGGTGGGTACCTTGAAGAGAACAGGTTTCCAAAAATAATGTCTTATGAGGAGGACAAGGGGGACATCCTGAATATGTGGGGGGTAAAAAGGACTATGGAAACACGCATATTTACAAGCGTGTATTCCCATGTGTGACACTGACACGGGGCAGTCCTAGAAAGGAAGTTGGGAATCTACACACAGTTGGGAATTTTAGACAAGAGACCTAGAAAAGGCAGCAGAGGCAAGGCCCGGGCAAACCACCCCATAGCCTCTCTAAGCATCAGCTCCCTAGAGCACCGGATCTCCCACTCGGTGCTCTGCCTACAGAAGGCTTCCCTTCTATTATTGCAGTAACCTGTGGGTTAAGAATACTTGTGCAAAGCTAGGGCTGTGCAGTCAAACAAACTTACCAAGAAAACTGAATGACTGTGCCCCAGTCTCCTTGCCTCTAAAGTGAAGTCAATAACCATCTTCAAACCTACACTTGGGGAAGTTTTAAGTCCAGACATAAAACACAAAACCATGACTGACTATAAGCATACAATTGGCAGTCTAAATGTCTAATGTGTTTATGAAAATGACTAAGAGTTCTCAATGCATTATAGTTCTCAGCGTATGTTCCACTGTGCAGGGAAATGGAGGAGGATCAAATACAGAGGATGGGCAAAGCCTACGGTCTTCCCTGCCTGGCTCTCTGCTGAGTCGTTGGTAGGAATGGGAGTGGTACTACTGAGTATTCAGAGAAGTCGGCAATACTGTTTCTGAGTATTGGTTCTGAGACCAGTCAAGCTGTTCTTTTCTGATTTAAGAAATATTTTCACATATGTATCTCTAAGTATTAGTAATATTTTGAAGATCATTATCTGGCCCCACACTCAAGTATGTATGTGTGTACATAGACATCTTCATGTTCATAGTACAGTACTGATCTTGGGTACTTTCTAGGAAAATGTCCCACACCCAAATAAAATCAACGCATATCTTTGGGTCACTGAAGAATGCAGGTGGTGGTACCCATCTGATACTCTGTGAAGCTTTGGACATGGCGGCTGGGAAGAAGAGTCCAAAGCCCTTTCTCTGTTTGAAGTAGGGATGAGAGGATGTACCAAGATTACTCACTACAGTCTCTGGTCCCAGTTTTGAGTGTTTTTCATAATAGAAGACACCAAACTAGAAATGACCATTCACATCACTCCAAAAAAATTCAAATTTCTAAACACTGTGTTGTCTGCTTCTGATCTGTTGCTAGCCTGTAAACTTAGCCCAGCTCCCTAAAGACATTGCCAGTCAGTTTCAATATCTACTTTTCTTCAAAGCACCTTAGGACTATGACTTCCTTCCCACCACTTCCTAGATAATAAATTTATTTGGCAGAGGCACTCAGCAAGTGATAAGAAGGGGACAGGAGATGATGCCTCCTAGGAACAAGCCCACACTCCTTGTGAGTCCCATCATCGTCACTACCTCTACTCTGCTGCCCTGAAAAAGCACAAAGAATGACATGACTTGTCCTTAGGTCGTACTTCCTGGGTTATAAAATGGGAACTGATGGTTTTAAACTCATTTTCAGTGGTTTTTCATCTAAAGTGGAACCAGTGACTACAAATCTTTTGGAGGCAAGCCACTAAGGAATAAACACCTCCAATTTGCAGAGAAGAAAGTTCTATAAATGGAGAGACACCGTGCAAATGGTTCAAGGTGGTAGAGATTCAGAGGAAGACCCTATCTTTGTTTATATCTGTGTCTTATGGCCCCAACAACCAACTGTCCAAGTTCCTCTTCCTCATTTCACCTATACCAAACTGAGACAGAAACAGCAGACCTTCGGGCGTAGTTAGTTCTCATTGCCAACAGACATATTTGCACACACTAGAAGACTATCGGGCCCCAGTGCTGCTCATAAAATGCATTTGCTTCCAGGCCATCGACCTTCTCCTCGGTGACTATGATCTGGCAGTGATGTATGTCTTCCTATTGAAAGAACAGTCTGGTCTGACTGTGATTTGATTACATGGAGCCCTCTCCCACTTTCATTATTTTCTTAAATTCTTCTCTAAACTACCTGCCCACATTTCATTTCAGCAAGAACCAGGCTCTGCACTTATGAAACAAGAGAGTCAAAATACACAATCTGTCAACGTACTTAAATAATTGACAATCCTTTCAGCTCTTACTTTTTTTTTTGAGATTAAAATACAGTTGCACTATTCCCCCTTTCCTCCGTCCAGACCTTTCTGTGCACATTCCCCTTGTTTTCTTTCAAGGTGGTGGTCTCTTTTTAATAGTTGTTACTGTTCTCTCTCTCTCTCTCTCTCTCTCTCTCTCTCTCTCTCTCTCTCTCTCTCTCTCTCTCTGTGTGTGTGTGTGTGTGTGTGTATGTGTGTGCACGCACGTGCGTTTATTCCTAAATCACATTCCTTTTTATTCTGAGGAACCATGTGTACAGGCACAGGATGGTTCAGTGAAAAGGTGTCTGTTACAGTGCACAAGCATGAGGCCCTGAGTTCAGATCCCCAGCAGTGCTGTAAGGAGCTGGGTATGGTGCTCTGTCTCTGTAGCCCTGCAGTTGGTAGGGGAGGGGGAGGAGTATGGAGACAGGGAAGTCCTACAACTTGCTTGCCAGTGGAGCCAATTGGTGAGCTCCGAGCTCAGTGGGAGGCATAATCTCAAAAAAATGAATTTGAAAGTAGCTAAGAATAACTTCCTGTCAGCTTCTGGCCTGACATATTCTTTCTCTGTCTCTCTCTGTCTCTGTCTCTCTCTGTCTCTGTCTCTGTCTCTGTCTCTGTCTCTCTCTCTCTCTCTCTCTCACACACACACACACACACATACACACTTGTTACAGAAAAACCAATTAAATAAAATGAATAATTAAGCAGCATTTGAAGTGATTGAGTTAATGAGCCACATCTCTGTAATTTGGACAGGCTGTTTATTCCTGGCTCCGTGTGCTGAAGCTGTGGTCACCCACTGTGGCACTGTTGTGAAGAGAGGAACTATTAGGGGACATGGTTTTGTAGTAAAAAGTTAGGTCACTGTTAGTGTGCCATTGAAGGAGCTACGGGGACCCTGGCCAGTTCCGTCTGTCTGTCTCTTTGTTTCTCAACCTACAGAAGGTACACAAGACTCATCTATTACAATCTCCACCAGCATAAAAGGTGCCGATGGGCACAGCTGAAAGTTCTGATGTTGTGAGCCAAAGCAGAATTGTTCTTAAACTAGATTAATGTTGTAAAGCAGTTTGTTGATGGAAAGGTAACCAACAGCCATTTAACAAAAATTAAATTAAATTAAAAATAAATATGTCAAGTGAATTTCAGTAACTGCTGACAACTAGTTTAAATGTTTATATTTTGCTCAACTAACATTTGAAAATAATCTTA